TGGGAAGCTCATTACGATTGCAAATAATTCAGTCACTTTAAGTCTTATTCTTCTGCTGTTGACTTGTGACTACTTCTGCTGTTGACTTGTGACTACTGTATGTTATACCTACTTAATGCCATGCATCTCAGTAGGCATGAACAAAATGGTGATGTTAGAGACCAAGTACAAGAGTTTCAAACGGATACATCAAAGCTCCCTGATGTGTTCTAGCTGAAATAAAAGCTTATAGCTCTGGACTAGGGAGTCTTGATCATGCTAGCATGTGTTCTGCCACGCCATCTCACCAAGCTTTTTTTCTTTCTAGACTGCATCAAATGACTTATTTAGCTCAGACTTCTTCGTGCCAATTACAGAGAGCCTTAGCGTGACCTCAGCGGCACAAACAGGACCTGTGCCAACTAGTCCACTGGACCTCTTCAAAACAAGTCCTACCACAGCATCTCCATTGGCTGGTCTAGGTTAGTTCACAAAGTGAAGGTCTTGCTCCAGTCTAAAATACCTGTTAATACCAAAAGAGGTGTTCTAGTTTTCCTTTATTTCCTGTGTAGTGCCATGTCCTTTAATCCCATGTACTGTCTGCCCTAAACTACTAAATTCTGTGAGTAGAGGCCTAAACTCTGCATCCTTAAATGGAATGGGTTTTTTTGCTTAAACTTTGACAGCAGATTACTGCTTCAGGTACACAAGCTTCAAGTGAGCCAAACACAACTTTGGAGGCTAGGATTAACACTGCTGCAGAGTCTTAATAATTTACACAGAAGTAACTATATGGCAAATGCATCTCTCTCTTCTGTGCTAGGTCTAAGTATGTTCCTCCTTCTGTTAGATCAACCTCAATCCTGTTCTTCCAGGACTGAAATGGAGCAAAGTAAAAAATGTTAAACCCCTTCTTCCCTCCCCACAAAATGACTTGATCTTTTTAAAGTGTAAATCAACATATTTTTGTAAACAGCACATAAAAAATGTTTTGCTGGTACCCTCAGTGGAATAGATACATTCCTGCTTGAGGTCTTCAGATCACTGAAGTGCTGTGTAACAACAATCTTCCCCCAGGTGGCTTGCCAGTAACTCCAGCACCATGGAGCCCACAGACACCTGCCTTCACTCAGGCTGCCTCAGTCTTTCCTGGATCTATGATGCCTGCTCAGCCTACAGGATTTACTCAACCACTTGCCTTTGGTACTCAAGCAGTGCCAAGCTGGAACCAGCCTGCATCTTTTGGTCCAGCAGCCCCTCAGCCCTCTGGTCTCTGGGCACAGGCAGCACAAGTTCCATCTAGTTCATGGGTGCAGCCATCCAGTGCTGTAAATCCCTTCCAGAGTAGTGTGTTCCCAACTTCAACACTACCTGCTCAGGTGCCATCTGTACTACCCTCCATGTCAACAACAACTAGCCCACCTCAGCCACCACCTAGAACTGCACCTCAGAAGGAGCTATCCAAGAAAGAGAGTGATGCTTTTATTGCTCTGGATCCACTTGGTGATAAAGAGATGAAGGATGTCAAGGAAATGTTCAAAGACTTCCAGCTGACGAAGCCACCTGCAGTACCAGCAAGGAGAGGAGAGCAGCAAAGCCTTTCAGGTGCTTCTGGAGCTTTCAGCAATTATTTTAGTAGTAAAGTAGGCATTCCTTAAGATAGTACAGATCATAATGACATAGAAGCTAGCAAGCTGTCTGCCAAAATGACTGGTAAAATCTTTTTTTTTTCTTCTGCTTGCATAACTGCTCAGGAATTGGGATGATTGACCACTAGTCTTTTCTGATAGAACTAAAAATTTTATATAATTTGAATTTATGATGTAACTTAAAGCAGGTTACTGAAACAGAGGGTTGAAGGACTGTCTCCCCTAATAATGTTACAGAATTGATCATTGTCAGTGGTGAAATACTGACACCTAGTGCCTAAACTACTTGACTAGAATAAGATAAACTTCATCTGTACAATGTTAGAAATCCTATCTAGCTTAAATATAGTGAGGGACAATCAGGAGACAAAATTGTGAGGTCACTCAAAGCAACTTCTGTGTGGGGTTTTTTTTGTGTATCTGATCACTTGAGTTTTGGTGCTGCTATACAGGCAGAGCTGAATACTTGTTAAAGCCGTTAAGTGATTATAGCAGTATGTCTTTTTTTCCTTAGAACCACCAAAGCCTGTTCCCCGACAAATTGTGCTGTCAGCTGATGGCCTGTTTGAAAGTCAAGCTAAAACAGACCTTTTCAGTGCCTCACCTGTAAGTAGTATGAAA